GTGAAGTCAATACCACTTTCTCAAGCCACTTTATTCTGCACTTTTTTAGTTTAATAAAAAATGTTTTCAAGAATTCTGCTTCATTATTTTAGAAATTTTGGTCAGATAGACTTAGAATGACATTTCCAAATAACTGTATTTTGAAGAAAAAGTGGAACTGGGAACAGTCTGTTACACTTCAGACGGAAATGGTTATATTTGCATTTAAAACAATAAAAATATTTCTATACCTAAAAACTTTCTTTCAAAACAGAATGAATAACGTCGAGTTCTGTACTGCTCAAATTTGCGAATAATTTATGTAATGAAATGTGATATATTTGAGTGATTTCTGTTGGGTATGATTTGCAAATAGATACTTTTTTCCAATCAGTTTATACATCCAACATACCGCTGATGCATAGCTATAAAGTATCAATAGTTTTGTATATATCATTTTATATATTATCAAAGTATATAGTTTTAATGCTTTTTACACCTTTAAGAACAAAAGTATAATTTGCTTTCTAGTTAACTGATCTCAGTGAGTTGTCAATTTTTTGTGTTCCTTCAGATTCAGAAAAGCGAACAACAGAGTCCGTTAATACAAGTGGCCGGCAGAAAGCGTGAATATGGGAGGCACTGTGCAGCAATTCTACATCCGATTGCCAACGGTTGTCGTCCATTTGCACAACGATGTGGAACCTGAAAGAAGTACTTATATCTTCTGCTCTGCAAGCAACAGAGATTCTGCACCAAAATTAAACGGTAGAAAGTAGAACCACTTCTTATCTACTGTATTTCGTCCTCTCTCTTCTTGATTAAACCCTCTTTTCAATTAGCTAAAAAACAACTTCACCAGACGAAAAACTTTTTAATTAAACTTTAAAGAATTAGATTTAAAAAAATGTTTTTAAACATTTTACGAAACGTTAGGCTAAGAAATAGACTAAATGAATAAGTAGGTATAATTATCAGTCACTTACCGTGCAACAGGTCCCGCTATAGCAAGCAACAGGTTGAGTGGTGCGAAGGGCGCATTGATACGAGTTTGTGCAACCGCTAGCAACAAAGGTTCCGCCGTTGTTGCAATTGTTAGTGACAGGGATGGTGGGAACCACAGTTGTAGTATTGGTGGTGCAGCATTGTCCGTTTAAACAGACCGTTGGTTGTGTGCTGTATGGGGTACACTGGTTTGATGCCGTACATCCTGTTGCTACCCAAGTTCCCCCGTTCGTACACTGTCCAAATACTCCTGAAGCTTGAAGCAGAGCAAAAAATGCAAGTTGAAACAGCATGCTGGAAATTTTGGCTAAAATTATTTGACACATTAAAGCCAAATGAAGTTTTAAGAAGATAAACAGTGAAAAAGCATTTAATCGAGCAATTTCACCAAACATTGTTTTTTGTGAAGTTGGAAAATGAGTAAAACAGAATCTTCTCTGAAAACTACTGAAAAGATGGTGTAGAAATGTGAGCAAAGTTCGACATTTAAATGATTCGTCTTTGTTAGCTGCAAACGATAACATGACTAGCAACAGCAGAATGCTAAATTATTTGATCAGAAAACAAAAATGCAATAAAATTCTTTTTTCTGGAAAAAGTTTATTTTCATTAAGAAGAATAGTGGTAAAATAGTCATCAAAAAGAAAAAGTGAAAGAAAAAATTAACTTAGCGATACTTTACAAATTGACATTTGATAACGTACAATTAATATACGAAAAATTGTCACATTTATATATATTTAGACATTTTTGCTAATTACTGAAGTACAGAAATCATTTCAAATTATAAAAGTGGGAAAGTGGGTAGATTTCAACTAATACAACAAAAAGCTTCAAAAGCTACTGCAAGCTTACCGTCTATAAAATAGCGCGTGAAAACCACAATTGAATTAGAAGAGGTAATTGTTATTTATATCCGTGAAAACAATGTTGATTTAAAAAAAAAAAAAAGCAGATAGGGAATAATAAGATGACAAATAATATTTTAAAAAACAGTGGTTTTGTTTATTCAGACCTATGCTAAAACATGCATATCTTTCTGCATTCATTGTTCTACAAAGTTTGCATGTGACATGTTTTTATTCACAGAGATACATGCAATCCTGGAAGAGCAATTAGAACAAGATAAACTATTTGCTAGCTTCAGTTTACCTCACTTATGACAGCCATATTCAGCAACTGCGTTTCCGCTGACTCCTCTATACAGAACAATGCACATATGGTATTTTTGTAAAGGTTTTCAGCAAATTTCTGATGTATACGACCTACTGAAGTGTATGCTGCAGTTTTGGTAAAAACAAATGGTTTGATGAGAAAATAATACTCGGTTGAATGAAGTCAATTAAACAGAAAATTATCGCATATTAAAGACAGTTTTCTATAATCTCATAAAGCACATTTTTCTGCACATTTTTTTTCAATCAGTAAAAACAAATTACAATCATAAAACAGCAAAAAAAACACACTTTTTTCTCACATTTCTGTGTAAGCTATTTGCAAAACAGATTTTTTTGACAATTAAAAAGCTGAAACATGTCATTTGTCACTCGACTTTAACATAACCTTTAGAGGCATTGACAACTTCTAAATCTTTTTTATTTTAAGTTCTTAACGGTTTTACACTGCTAATTTTGACTTGCCAATATTATTTTCGTTAAAACGCTTGCAAAACAGAGAATAATTTCAAAATGGCAGTATTGAAACGATGTAAACAGCAAAACAGTCTTTATCGGAAACTTCACTATTAGAAGGTTAAACTACTTAGAGTAGATGAAGTAAACTGGTAAGTTTTTGTAAAGACAAATTTGCAATAAATAGGATTTTACTTTTCTTTTGGTTAACTATAAACGTGTTACAGAAAAAAAAAATCAAATTAATTTTTTTTTTCAAACTTTATAGGGGAATTCCAAATTTTTATAACGATCAGATATTGAACTCTAGCTTAGCTGAATTCTGCATACCTCCTCTGTCCTCTTCTAATTGTTTTTACAAATAAATTCTCCAGTGTTTTCACTTATACTATTGTAATGTACTACAGCTGTACCGAAGTATTTCCCACAAGATTTCAGTAACATTGATGCAATTTTTAGCTCAAGCTTAAGCCCTAAGCTCAAGCCTAAGGCTAAACCTCAGCCTAAGCGTAAGCCTAATCATAGCCTAATCATCCGCATTCTAATTATATGTAACATACGTTGCGACCCAATCAAAAAAAGTGTAAGTCCCATACCTAATTTAAACCCTTAATACAAGTTTAAAATTAAGTTTAAACCTAAGCTTATTCATATACACGCATCTTCTCATCTAAATAAATAAGATACACGTATTCCAGTTACATATTAGATCAACATTGTTTATAAATTGTTCAATAATTATATACACCTTCTATTAAGCTTATATATTTAAGGTAATTAAGGTATGTATCATGGCTTAATTTTTAGACATCATTATACCGTATTAGAACCTCAACAGATTACAGTACTTTACTGTTATCAATTTCATTTACTCTGAAACATCAGAGTTATATTATTACTTTACGCCATATACTCAACGCCACGATAAAAATGTCTCAGGTTAGTTACATTACTATTTACGTACGTCTTAACCATACCCCTACTAACTTCTTACCTTTTCTTAATAATTCTTTAAATTTTAATAACTCAATATATACTATTAATACTAAGTTAAGGTCTCACATTTAAATCTTCTAGGGATATGAGTGTATCCATCTGCATCCGCTGATGAGGTCCTCAGATGACTCTACATTCATACCTCTTAGGGTAAGCAGTTGTCCGAATAAAGGACCGAAACAACTGCTGTGTATAATGCATTTTGT